CTGGCTCCATCCCCGCCTCTTCGACCTGTTTGTTTCCTCTCCACCTATCCTCTCCTCTATCCATCTTCTATCCGCCCCCCACTCTCTCCCTATTTATTTCAGAACCCCCTTCCCCTCCCCCTTTTCTGATGAAGGGTCCAGGCCCGAAATGTCAGCCTTTCTGCTCCTATGATGCTGCTTGGCCTGCTGTGTTCATCCAGCCCTGCTCCTTGTTGTCTTGGATTTTCCAGCATCTGCAGTTCCTACTATCACATGAAATTGTCTACTAATTAAGTGTAAGTACCTGTTTAAAGATATTGCTATATGACTGTCAATCAATGTCTTGTGCCCAGAAATTCAGTAATTAAAAGTGAAAATCTAAAGTAGCAAATTATTTTGAAGATTTTAATAAAATTTTAATCTTGTAATCCCATCATTCTTTCTTTTCTAGTCTTTCTCTATGTTTGATTTAACATTGAAATTTGAAATCACCTCCTTGAATGCATGTTCCTCCTCAGTACCCCACTGTTTTGGTCCTTAAATTTCATTAGTTAAGGATGTAAACTATTGATCCTTTTGTTCGCCAATCTTTTCACATTGTCTGTTCACACTTGCAGGACAAATTTGTTTTTGATTAGGCCACAGTAATTGTGCTTTGAGTGGAACCTCAAGCAAGAACACTTACTTTTACATCAGTATGATATTTCTATTTTTCACAAGACTTGGCATTATGAGCAAAGTTGTAGGCAGTTTATGCTGAATATTGTTCAAAAATGCACATAGGTTATATTATTATTATTGTTATTATTATTATAGGCTGATATTTTTGCAACATTTTTAAATGTATTTGATTAAGGAATGTAGATGTGATTAGAACTTTGGAGGCTATGGTCTTTTAGGTAGCAGTTAGATCAGTGTCATGGGCTATTAATTAATTTAGTGTGCTTTTGAAGTAGTGTCAGAAGGATTGTTTCATATTCTTTTGTTTTGATGTATTTTTAGTATGGAGAGCACAACTTCACAATATTTAAATTGTGAAACTATGCATTAGTGTTAAATGGACCTTGAGCCAATAATGTGAGTGCTTAAAAGCAAAATAAATGTATGTGGGGAGACTTGGTTTGAAGAGCCTCTGTTTGTTAAAGAGGGATTGAAGGTCCAGATGGACAAAAACAGAAATTGCTGAGGACTTAGCAGGTCTAGCTGCATTTGTGGGGAGAAAGCAGAGTTAACGTTTCAGGTCCAGCAACCCTTCTTCAGACTGCTGTGCCAATGTGAGCTCTGCTTTCTCTCCACAGGTGCTGCCAGACCTGCTAAGTCTCTCCAGCAATGGTCCCAAACTATGAAACAAAACTACTCTGTGATCAGTTATCACAAATGTTGCTGTATGTGAATGCCGATCTACAAGTGCAGCTAACCTTAAAGATCAGAAGAAGCAATATATTCACAGAGGCTGCCTGAGCTTCAAGGGTCTCACTGTTAGTGTTGCGAAGTGCTAAACTTGGCAGTTATCCACCTTGCAGGAGATGGTAAATTGTGGCTATTAGTTTGAGGAAAGCAATTCTTTGACCATACGTGAGCTGTACAAAACTCTAGGGTGAACCTGAACAACGCATGATAGTCTTGTATTTAGTGTTGTTTTATCTAATTTCTTAATTCAGTAGGGAAAGGTATTTGTCATATAAATATGTAAATTTTGGACTTGTGTGAAGTTGCCAACTCATTGATGCCAAGAACTGCAGGTTCCTACTGGGTTAGTAGATGAAGTTTTTCACAGCAGAGTACTTTATCTGACAACAGACAGAGTTGTTTACAAAAGGTCCAAACAGTACCTGCTGTTGAGCCGCAACATAAGGTATAAAATTGGCTGCGGAGGAGTCTTGCCTTGACAGCAGGCAGAAGAGGGTAGGATTTGAAGGGAATTAAGTAAAACATAATTATCTAAGCCTGTCTCCTCCTCTTTGTTAGTTGGAGATAGCAATTGTAAGGATAGAATAATGACAGAAGATCTTTTTCTTTTTTCATTCCCTCTTCAGTCCACCTAAAATGGTTTTGCAAAAATCAAAGTGCATGCTGGATGCCAAAGCAAAATTGTAATTCTGGTTTTTCAGAAGGTAGGAATTTGAGTTTGTTCCCCAGTGCTTGCTTGGTTCTCAGGCTCTGATGTAACAGACTTGTGACACGGGAGCAAAACAAAATATGCCAAAGTTGTTTAGTAGTTGATCCACTAAACTGTACTTTAGCGTAGCTTTTGAGTGTTTGTCTCCGACAATTCATGCGAGCAGGTGACTAATAAAATGGAAAATTTTGTTTTTCTTTTGTCCCAAGAGAAGGGTGTCAAACAAAGAAACTTACTGTATACATAAAATAGTGGATAGTCGACACTGGAATTATTCCAATGCAGCCATCCAATTGAGGGATTCAGTTTTTTAAATTGAATTCTAGATGACCTCTGACATTGTGCGTTGTCTGAATCTGGCATTCAACTATCATGGTCTTCTACTGTCTAGCCGCTGAAATGGAGCGGTGTCTAATCAGGGTTATCCTTTCGGGCTGCAACTCGGTCATTGTGTATGCGTGAGTGGTTTCAGTAAGATTGCAAAAATCAGTCAGAGACGAGTTATCGGGAGAAACAGAGACAACAAGGTGCAGGGCTGGATGAACACAGCAGGCCAAGCAGC